CCCGGCTCATTCAAAATCAATCCACGTCGCGCTATCCTAATTCGAGTCCTCTCGTCGACTCGTTTCTACCTATCTCCCCACTCATCCCTCTTATTTGCAGGGGTACCGTATCGATTCGCCTCCCCGAAACGCGTTTCCGAATTTCCCGCCCGAAAATATTTCGCAACGTGACGCTTGCTCTCTCCGACTGCGCATAGTTATTCTTGCTTGAAATCGTGATATGTACAAAGCGTATGGATCAAATATATATATATATATATATATATATATAGTATACCGTCCTCGTACTCTCCACCACCGTTATAAAAGATGGATCTCCGTAGCGAACGAGGAATGCGTGATGCGAATAGAGGAGCGAAAGAGATTATAAGAAGGAATTTTTGAAATACGTGGAAAAATTTAGGTACTGCAATGTTACTGCTATTAAAATCATATAATATACCAAATTCATTGTAGATTGTTCTGAATAGTGTCAAATAATTGTAAACCATACAAAATGTTCATAGAATCTCTTGCTATAAATAATTTGTAAAAGCAAGTACTAATTTAATGATTATATTAATATAAAGAATGATATCGATATAAAAAATGTTCTTTCTTCGGTATACTTATTTTCTACCTATATTAAAAGGAAGTCATATCAAAATTGCTCTGAGCGCTTTGCTTGCACTTGCACTGTACAGCATCTCAATCCTTGCAGTGTTTGATAATCGTATTTAAATAACTTCTCATCCAGACTGGATGTGCAAAGCTGCAGTGCTCGTGGTATCGAAACCTCAAAGGTTCCACTTTGCATCGTCAAACGTGTGTTTAAGCTTCTCGCGGCCTTTATGAATTCCTGTCCAAAGGTGAAATCGATAGAGCCTCTCAATTTTCGTCTCTTTCCTATGAAATGTTCTCGTGGCGGCTAAGCAAGAGAGGTCGAGATATAGAGAGAAAGAGGGGGGACTGTAATTCGACATGTTTCAGGATCAGGGGTCAGGTCGTAAAGTAAGCCGGGACTTGGCCATAAAATCACTCACAAAACCGCTGGTGTCCGAAGCTACGAAGAGTAACGGAGAGTAACCTGGTCTCTCGCGCTTCATTTCCTCGTTAATTTTACACGCGTTTATAGGCTGTGGCATTTTCCCTCTTTATAAAGTACGCGCACGGTATTTAACTCTCGGATGACTCTACTTTCTTTCCTCTCTCATCTTATGTTTCCTCAAAATTCACCCGAATATTGCTAGACGACCTAATTCGTGACAAAATTCAAACTGAAATTCTATCTATAATTTTATACTGTCGTGCGATACAAAAAGGATTTTAAAAATATACAGATAAAATAAAAGGGACATATTGGATTAATATATGCATTATGCATCGGAATAGATATGTAGCGCACATAAAATTATAAATAAATTTGACGTCTTGAATTTTGTAGCGAATTATATAGATCGTCTAAAGTAGAAGCTTATAATATACATCAGCTTCAAAAGTGGCGCATAAACTTGGTCTTAAACATTATAAATTTTAATGAATCAACGAATACATTAGAACACTGATTTTAGCAACATGCTTCAAAGTTGAATTACTTGCAAGATAAGTTAGTCACATGTAACGAGATAAAAAGAAAAAGTACTAATTTTGTAAATAAAGTCAGAATAGCGTAGTATCAATTTCCTAAGATAAAGTGAGAAAAATTATACAGCGTTACTTCGAACGAGAAAGTGTATCAAATAGTTAATCCTTAGTATGTGTGTGTACGTGTGTGCTTGTATGTGTACACCGGCTGTGGCCTGTATAAAACTGCTCTTCCGCACCAATGAAAAATTGCTAAATCGTGAGTTTAAAAATGTAAAATTTCAGCTGATCATTCCGAAGTTTCGCAGCGAGTAACTTCAAAATTTGTTATACTTTCGACATTAGAAAGCAACATCGAAGCAAGTATTGTAATATTCAGTATGTAATGTATACAGAAAGAGAGAGAAGAGAATAATGTGATGTTAAGATCAGCAAAAACAGAGTATCTAAGTTCTTCCCTCAAAAGATTTTGAATTTTCTTCTCTGAAATTTTCCCTCCCATTGCTTCGCTTTGTATCGTTCTCAGTAACCTCCAATTAATTCCCACTCGAGCGTACCATGTCGCTCATGGTTTGTTAGGTGGCTTCGCCCTGAAACGGGAGATATCAGAAACAACGGATAGCATTGTTGCCCTGGAATGTCTTGAATTTCGTCAAACAGAACGTACGTCGCGGTGCCGATACTCGGAATTCCCACTGACGGTGATTGCATTATTCCGAGCGCATCCTATTGCATGGCTGCCGGCATGAGCTTTAACCCGATATGCGGCAAACATCGAAAAGGATCTATTTCCTGATCGAGCCCTTATCGAGTAAGACAAGATTTCTCGTACGAAATTATATTGCAATGTGCATGCCATTTTTTCAAAGAAAATTAGTACTTTCAATATTTTAATGCCGCATCGAATTCTACACATTATTCTTTCATTTTTCGGAGAATATTTTATAAAAGTGCACTTTGTTTTTAATGACAGATTTGTCGCTAAACTTTTCTTGGAGCAAAAATCAATTTTCCAAAATTCTATGGTTATTATTTTTAGTTTATATTTTTGGGGGGCTTTCAATCCTTTGCATTTTTAAATGGACATAAAAAATTCAAGGAAATATCAGACATGAAAATAAGATTATTCGATATAATGCATTTGAGAGCTTCATGGATTAAGAGAGAAAAAAGAATATTTTACTATGTATATCATAAAATATTGTTTTTATAGAAAAGACTTTTCTTTTTACATATTAAAAAAATACGGACAAGGAAACGCGATAAGCAAAGTGTTATCTCAATATCGCCAGACGCTATTCGTCACCACGTTGATTAATCATGCAATTAGGGATAAAAGATACCGTGTACTCGGTTTTTGCGAGGGCAATATTTGTCCCGAGAGGCGTTACATCGTACGAAGCAGGATCGACACCTTGTCGACGGCACTTCATTAATCACGTGTAGGGCTTTTACACGTGCTCTCCTTTGACATACACACTTTTCTAAATACACTCGCAGAAACTTTTTGCACGAATGTACACGTTTGTCACAGGCGTCACGATGATACTTGAATATTGAAATATTGCGAATCATAAAACTTTTTTTTTCAATTTTCAAAAGAACAAAATTTGATGCTAATCTATCTCAAAAATTAAAATCAAAGATTCTAGAAGACATCTAATCTAGTGTAGTTTAAATATTTGATAAAAATACAAATAAATATAAATTTATTTACAAAATAAAATTTTTGAAAAATGTAAAAGTGTATATATAATATAATTATTAATGCTCTTCGATAATAAGGCTTTAAATTATAGACTCATGCTTTTTCTCTTGTTAACCTAATTCAAAATCCCTTGTAATCTCGCGATTGTTTTGACGAAGGGGAAAGGAACAAAGGCGACAACTCTGAAGAATTGTTCTCCGCGAGAAACGCTCGTGAGACAATAATTAGATCACCCTGTAGAGGAAACGCGTAAGGCAGGGATGGGTGGCTTAATTAGGTGATTGGCCTACCTATGTGTGTCTAGGATCGATCGATCCCCAGGACAGTTCGACTAATGCCGTTTTAATCAACCGCCCGGTATGCGGAACCTCGTTAGGCTTCGGATGCCACAGGAAAGTTCTGTGTCCTTCGACGGGCTTCGACTATTACCCTGCCCCTAATTTGATGGAATGAATAAGTAAAAGTCCTCCCTTTCGTGATACTTGAATCAGATGAAAAAGTTGTTCCTCTCTTTGTGTTTCGAAATATTTCTGTAATGCTGTTAAGTTGTTACTCGGCTCTCTCATTTAAATGAATATTGATCGATGACATTATAAAATACAATTGCGCATTGAATATTGATAGAAAATTTATGCGAACAGTTAAAAAGTACGACATTAAAATGATAATAAAGGACAAATAAAATTTACACGATCCGTTTTTCATCGTAGCATCAATTCGACATCTGTCTCATACTTTTAGAGATATATTGTTTTGAGAGATATTGTTTTTATTCAGAAAAAACCAATTTTTTTCAATTATTCAACGATTCAACGTAAATAGAAATAAACTAGAAGAGTATAGAAAATTTGTTTTTAAACAAGAGATTAATTTTGCACGAGATCGAAAATGATTTCGAATTCTAAAATGATAAATAAAGCAAACCGATGTTTTAGATAGAATAAAGCGCGATACCATCTAAGTATATTTATGACGATTTAAGCGATAAAAAGATGTTTTATGACTGCTATGAATGCAGCGGAACTATAAGAGCCGGTGATTTTTCTTCAACATTGAGAGAGAAAAATCCAAGTCAAGTGAATCGATGCATTTGAAAGCGATGCATATATAGTCTCGTAACTGAGACATCTGAAATACGAGCACGTATTATCGATACGTCTACGTGTCTATATACATATTAGAGAAGACATATGGGGAGTGAGAGAGAGAGCCGAAATAAGGAGAACAACAGATTTGGTCTAATCCTAGGTTTAACGTGCGCGCGGGTCGCCGGGTTCAAGCCCGCTAATGGAACGTTAAGCCAGCTGAGCCTGGGCTAACTTTGTACACCTTATCGAGCAAGGAGGGCCTGATCGAAAGCTCTCGTTTACCTCGGCGTCGCGACGCCTTGTTCTCGTCGATCAAACAGGTGTTCGCCTTGGGCAGGAGTTCACGACGACAGCGATCCGTTTAAGAGGTCTCGCATGATCAAGGGATGTTTCGTTGAGCGAACGTCGTTCTTACCTCAAGTAAATTGAACGTATTGACATTGATTGACATAGATTCGATAGCCAAACATATAACCGATAAATATCATAGATTGTCTTATTTTTTTACGCGTAACACACACGCGTAATATAAATTAGTAGAAATTATAATTAATAATAAATAATAAATGTGTAAAATACATTATATTATATTATCGTGGCAGAAAAATTGATTAAAAAGTATCAAGTCATTAAACAATTTAGTTATTACTCATTATACTAATTACACTAATTAAAAGATATGTATGTTCTGCTGTTGGCAGTTTGACGTGTCAACACAGATATCTGCTACTTTTAACGTTTGCATAATTTTTACTCTCTTTATTATTGGCTCTCAGAAATTTTCCAGACACTCGAAATACACACAGGTGACATCTACTAATTAATCAGCATTAATGAACTCGTTTATCGAGCAGTTCTCTTAAAAATTAACACGCGGATCAAGCACAAAGACGTTACCGAACGACACGCAATCTCTGCTGATAATGAATGCGTTGCCATCCGTTATTAGATGCGTTTAGTATAAAGACGCATAAGTTTACCTCTGTGTAATTAAGTCGTAAAGCTATAGTGGAAGGTGTTTGCCTCGCGGCATCAACTGGTTACGAAACTACGCAGGTGCTACCTCGTGATGTTTGCCTTTTATGAAAGACGCTGTGGAACGCTCGAAGATAAGATAACGGCGGCTGCGAAGAATTTCCGGTTCGTCTCCTCTGTGGATTTCACCGCGAAAGGGACCAAGATCTCTGAACCGACAGGATATTGAAGAGACGAAACGGTATTCGCGCGATTAGTCCCGCCAAGTTTCGCGAACCGCTGAATTCCAATGGTTGACACTTAAATTCGCGAGCAGCGGCGTAACACAAAATTCTTTTCGTCTTGTTCATCTTTTTCTATATACAATAAGTACGATGTGATTCGGAATTCTGTCTGACATTCTACGAATCGCGAAAAGCGAATTGAAAATCACGATTGTTTCAACAGCAGAGTTATTTGTTACACGCGTGAAAAATGTAAAAAAATGTATGAAAATTAACTTAAACATTTATTTCTAATAAATTATAATTAGGCCTCTTAACCCTCTTTCAGTTCACGCCGCTGAACGTTCGCTCGTTTCGCGAGCACCGTGTATACTTGGAGGGAGCATTAAATCGAATCGGACTTAAATCGTGCGTGGAAGTCGGAAAGCTCGAAAGCACAAGGTACCGATTCACGAGAGAAGAGAGAAACTCAAGCTCGTACATTTATTTCACAAATTACAGCCACGGATGCGGGGATCGTTCGAGTACACCTGGAGCTAAAGGAAACTTATGACCGCGATCGAAGTCGTATATCGAGGTATAGGAAGTATCACGGATAAGTGTCCCCGCTTGGAAGAAAATCCGTTAAGCAGCGGGGAAGATATCGGCTGCTTCCTGAAGGAACTACATTTTCCACGGCGAAAGTTGGCGAGACAAAGATTGCGTTCTTTACAATCTTCCTAAGCTCGAAAGACGCGCTTCTATACTCTTTAGAGATTGTTTTCTATGAGGAGATAATAACGCGCCTATACATATATTGAATGTATATATTATTGCAAAGAAAGTGTATATAAGATTATATTATATAATTAATATCTTTACAAGTTTGTGCACAACATACACATTTTAAAGGAGGCTTCTATCAAAGTTTGTTGAAACTTGTATAATTAAATTCCATAAATTTTGTCCGTGAAAAAATATTTATATACATTTAGTTTTTTATATAGTAATCAAGTAATGAGAAATCGATGCAAAAACATATATATTCGGTATAAACAAATTTTAAAAACAAGAGGCTATTTCGCGAAAGATAATTTTTCAAGTATCTCGATATCAATGAGATTCTCTTTGAAGATCCACTTACGACTAATTGAAAAATCGGATTTATAAAGATTCTACTTATTAAAAACGCCAATATCGAGTATAGAGATTCAATGGCAAACTTACTAAAATGTTTTACGACGTTTGTCGCTATCTTCTTACCAGTACAGAGTACCGCGAAATCCTGTTATCTACTTAGTATGAATAAATTTCAAGCTCCCGTGCTCGGTACAGCGACGTCATTACCATAGAATTTACTAACTATAAAATATGGCTTCTGTCATCATGGCTCGTCGTTTTACGTGCTTAACGTGCTCGGATTTTTCTAAAGCGTGTCGCCGCCGAAGATTCTCGACAAGAGGAAACTTTAAATAGCGAACGGTGGCTCGAGTATCGATTGGCCGTTCAGAATCTTGCGGCGACAACGTCGAAGTACCTCGACAGGAAAAGCGCAAATTATGTAAACCGATTAGTGGCGCGGGTCAATCTTTTACCGGCCACTTTTCATTTAGTTAAGATTTTAAGCATGGACTCACGGTGGAAATCTCTGTCAAATCGAAATGAAAATGGATTTTGCGTATAAGAATAGCACGGCTAAAATTAATTTTTCACTAAATTTCATCAAGAGTTGACGATAACGAAAAATCATTAAATAAAGTAAATTAATTATTTATATCTCTGACGTTGAATTTGTGAGTTATATTTTCGATAGAATATTTTTTCTCATCAAATTATAGAGTTGTCAGGAAAAATGTTTGTTAAAGAAAAACTGATATAAAAGTTGCGTTCAAAGTTGTTATTTTTTTCAGTAGATCCAGGATAATGGCTAAATATGTAAAAAAAAAAAAAAAAAAAAAAAACAAGTAGAAAGTAGGACATACACTCATTATATAAATATTCTTTGAAAGCTTCTCCCTCCCTTTCTCTCTCTTTCTCTCTGTCCCTTTAAGATTGCCGACTTGCACTACTTGGAAAGTAAGGGGCTCACGTGTCGCTGACGAGCCTGTTCCGGTTCGTTTCTCGCGGATGCGTCACAGGGTGACGCAGAAGAAGAGCGAGATGACGGAAGAACGAGGGAACGGAGAAGACGGATGCCGCGTGTCCGGCGACAACTTAATTTGTTTCCTAGGGTGTGCTTGCGCAAATGCACAGCGGCCATTAAGCGAGAATGGGCAGGCGCGATTTATGCGCAGTGAGATTATCCGGCGGATAACTGGCAGTGCGGCCAGATAACCGACGGAATTTCGGTGGCCCGGGTTTCCGTATACATATACGGGGGCGACAGATCGAATTTATCACCATCGACCTACTTAACTACTATCGCGGGGGGATGCGACTCTCCAGGGTTCCCGAGTAAACGAAACTTTTGTAATTGTTCCTCCATCGCGTTTCCCGGCAAGATGGTCTCTGCCCTCCCTTTGTTGTCCTCTTTAACGATCATCGAATATATTGTCTCGACTTGGGAGACTCTCCGGCGAGAGATGGAATTGGCGAAAGTACAAATGTATCCTTCGAGATGCGTTTTATTAATGTATAGGTGCGTATAATCAATTTTATACATGTTTCGCAAAATTTTATAAAAGCGTAGATATATTGTATAATATGAAAGAGACACGCACAAATTGTATAAATTTGATATCCATTATATATAATGCACGTTTGTGGTTATTAATACGCGTCATTTGGATTTTATATATTTCGAATTTGTAGTGTGTTTTTCCTTTCAATTTATAAATAATGTGAATAATAACGGCGCTCATATATATTTCGTTTAATTTAATGAATAAATGGAATGTGTACTCAACAATGGGTATCGAGGTTGGAACAAATATCTTTTGTTAGTTCACATCCGCGATTCTCTCGAATTGTTAGTCACAAAAATGTCGTATAAAAATATCACTGTAAATATTGATGCATCTAAATCTGAAGTAAACACATCTCTTTTTGTTTTTTCGTTTTTTTTTTTGACGCGTCAATGCACTCGACGGCAAAAACTGTGTTTTCTACTACTCGAACGATCCGCAGTAACCCCGTTTTCTCACGGAGGATGCATTGCCAAAAGTTTCAGGTCATATCGTTCGTAATTCCAGAAAGAGCATTCAGAATTTCAACCCCGTATAATTTCACCGATTCGCGCGTTTGCCCTTTCGCTAATTATGTACGAATTATGGGGTAAAGGGTAAAGGCACCCCGGGAAAGAGAACCCGCGATATAATGTTAATTCGACGAAAATTATGAAAACGCATGAATTTTGAAAAACGTGCGAGTGCAAAATAAACTGTTAATTCCTTAAAATACCCTGGCGAAGCGAATAATTCCGCGTTATTAATGCAAATACGAGCGAACCGCGCGCGAAGCAAAACCGTTCCATTATCATCGTAAAACGTTTTGAAATGTTAAAAGCCGCGCGCGTTGTTGTTGTCTGTCCTAAAACTGTTTGCGAGTGTCAGTTAATTTTTGCGAAAAAAAGAGCCGCAAAAAGTCCAATTGTTTCGTCCAGGCGTGATTAAAGAGAACGTAACCGAGATTAATAAGCGCGCGGGAGAGGCTCGAAGCCGTGATTCTCTGATGCGGCGAAACTTTCGTAATTGTTCTATCGATTTCCTTCCGTTTTCCGTGCCTTCCTTCGCACAAGGAGAGCGCGTCTGCCTCTTTTCCCTTCCTTTTCGAGAATAAATGCCCCCGTCGTAGTACGCGCGCAGCTTGCCGGGAGATTAAACGTTTAGGCGTGTCTCATCGCGATAAACAAGCACCTGTAACACTTTTGGATACGATAAATCGCTAGCGAAATTTTTGGATCAGACTTATAAACCGTCAAATTGTTTCATTCTGACGGAATCCAGCGCGAGACTTTTTTCGATCGTAATTTCGTAAGGAGGTTTATGCTTTTCGACGTTGATAGGGTAGTGTGGACTGACCAGGGGATGGCTTTGGAAGCGCAATGAAGACCCGGTGCGATAACATCACGGATAAATAAACCGCGCGAATTTTCCAGGCGATCTTGGCGTATTTCGCGCGAAAACGGGTCGTTTTAATAAGAGCACATAGACGCGTAACGGCAGAAGTCACGGTATACCCACGTCGGCTTCATGTTACTCCCGTTTTATGTATATCCGCTGCGCGTATAAAGCCGCTATCGCATTACTAAAGCCCCGGCGGGGGCGACACAGAGGCGAAGTTTCCTCGCGGCGACGCGAGTCGGTCGGGTCGGTTGGTTTGTGAAACTAAATAGTATATATGTACGTATATATGTACAATATATGTGCATATACTAAACAGGCTTAATCAACAGACTTAATCAACGTGTTACCTCCTCATATGGATCTTGGATATTGGATCTGGTGTCTTAGGACGCAAAAGTAAGGGAGCGCGTGTATTTTTCTTATAATATCAAAATTTATATACGTATAATGTATATATATATATATATAAATTCAAATTTTGTTAAGTAATATTCATAGTTTCATTAGCTTTACGTAAATGACAATTTAACAAAAAATTTATACATGTACATATATAATAGACATATATAAATTAAAATTTATAAGTTGGCTGAAAGAAGAAGTTTATATTAATGTTGAACCCAGTTAGAATTGCAGTGTTGGAGAAATATGATGCTGCGTGACACATTTCTTATTAAGTTATATTCATAGTTTAATTAGCGTTATCGCATAGCTTTATGTAAATGACAATTTAACAAAAAATGTATATACATATATAAATTAAAATGTATAAAAGAAAAAGTTTATATAAATGTTTGAACCCAGTTGGAGAAATGTGAAGCTGCATGACATTTCTCAAGTATAATTATCCTAGTTTAATTAGCGTCATCGCGTAGCCTGACGTAAATAAAAATTGAATAAGATATAGCGCGTTGCTCGACTTGTTAGGCATACTTATTTTAGGCGACGAAGAGAAGAAGCGAACGAAGGGGAAAGAGCAGCAGGCGCGTATCACCTTTATACTTCCACTCGCTCGCGAGTTATTTATTTTTATGGGGGTTCTTCCCACCCTCTCTTCTGCCGTGGTTCTCCAAGAATTCTCGAGGAACGGACGACGAGAGGAACGAGTTCGGATAGTCGAACGCGCGCTCGAGGGGAGAGGTCGACGTTATGGTCTTCTCTCGTCTCCCGCTCCTACCCGGAGATACCCTCCGTGCCGGGGGAGAGAAACCCCGTGCCCGCTTAATGGCGTTACGGGGTTGCCATGGTTACCGGGAACCCCATGGAAGCGACGCCACCGCCGCGCCGCACCCAGCGGAAAGCCCATTTATTCTGGAAAAACATTATAAGAACGCGGCACGAGCCGCATCAAGGTCGTTACTCGCCGGTTCCGCTCGCATCCCTGTCTCTGATGCACTCTGCGTTGCTTTGCACGCTTCGTTTTCGCTTCGAAGGCGTATAGAGAAACTACCCCTCGGCTAGGTGCTACAGATTGCTGATGATGCGGGAGAAAAGGAGAGCGCCGTGTGAGAAAAGCGGCACGTGAAGTCAGAAATCACGAGTTCCCGCCCCTATTTTGGCCTCTTTCCCGCGACTTTCGCAAAGGGGATCGATTCGGGTTTATTATCTCGCGTCGGGCGAGAAGCTGACGTACGGTTTCTCCAAGCGCGCTCTCTCGTGCTAACTCGACACGTTAACCTTGTCGTGTCAGGAAGATGTTTAAAACGAATACATTTTCGGGAAAACATACATGTACGTACATTCCTTTATTGA